TAATACCCACAATTCATAGAACTGTCCCTGGTGGTGCAGGACCAAGGAGACAGGAATATCACCTTGACTCAGAATCAGGCAAAGATGCAGCTGAACTGGAATCTGGCACAGAAACCTGGTGACGCAGGTAATGGCTGAGATAGTAGAAGGTCCATGAGGCTTCATGGTGAGATAAAATGCCCAAAGGTGTGGAAAACAGATATTTAAAGATTAAAGAGAGGTGTGGGGTATGGGCGACTCTAAGAGAAGAGTTTATTTAGGAAGGACGAGGCCCCACTGGGGACCTTAAGATGTTAACTATGACCTTCTCCTGCAGGCCATTCTGTGGTGGGCCTCGTGTCCATTCCAGGGATGGGCAAGTTGCTGGCCAATGCCCCACTGTTCCTGGAGCCTGAGCAGCTGGCAGCTCTGCACGAAACACACAAGGGCTGGAGGCAGGATGTCCCCCCCGTCCTGCTCTCAGACGTCACCTCTGCCTTTCTGAGCAACAAGAACACCCAGAACCTCAGCTCCCCAGTTACTTTCACCTTCTCCCATCATGTGAGTTCTGGTAGGGTGAGGTGGCAGGCGTAGGAAGAAACCTGAGTCCTAGGAACAGCCTTATTGTTCAGTTAAGCCTTAGGGTTTAGGGGACCCCATCATATTTGCATCATCTCCCCCTAAAAACCAACCCTTCTCAAGTCAACATTGGGCCAGGCTCTCAGAGCATCCCAACCCCCAGCACACACCTGTTCCCTGTACCTACAGTCAGTGATCCCTGGACCAAGGCAGAAGGTATTCTGTGCCTTCTGGGAGCAGGGCCAGAATGGATATGGACATTGGGACACCACAGGCTGCAGGACAGTGGACCCCAGAGACAACAGCACCACCTGCCGCTGCACCCACCTCAGCAGCTTTGCCGTCCTCCTGGCGCACTACGAGGTGCAGGTGAGAGGAGATGCATTCTGTATCTACTTTCGTGTAACAGATTCCTACAAATGTGGCAGCTTTCAAAAACAAATTCATTATCCCACAATTTCTCTGGGTCAGCATCCAGTATGGCAAGAGATGACTCTTTCTGTCCTTCAGTCCTCCCAGGGGCTAAATTCATTAGTTCAGAACCTCATAAAATTCTAGATTAACCTCACATATATCCCTGCCTCCTCCATTCCTGGATTTCATAAACAATACACGAATAAAAATGGCAGCGGGAATCATTACCCCAGAGCAGGAAATTCTAATCGTGAACCTTTCTTTTCCCAGGAAGACCAGCCAGTGCTGACCTTCATCACCTACGTGGGGCTGGGCCTCTCTCTGCTGTGCCTCCTCCTGGCAGCCCTCACCTTCCTCCTGTGCAAGGCCATCCAGAACACCAGCACCTCACTGCACCTGCAGCTCTCCATCTGCCTCTTCCTGGCCCACCTCCTTTTCCTCACGGCGATTGATCTAACCAAACCCAAGGTACTGATAGTGGTGTCAAAAAGGACTCCCATCCTTGACCCAGAAGGTTCTGGTTCATGGAATGATGCTACATTAGATACCTTAATGAAATGACCCTGAGTCCTGGGAGGGTTAGAAGAGGAACCTGCCAATTTCACACTGCCTTACCCAACTAGAAAACAAATTTTTCTTTTATTCTCTTTTTTATTTCCTTTCTTTTTTAACTATGCCCCCGTCAGCATAAAGAAAACAAATCTTCCCTTTCCAACTCCATTATGTACATCAGAATTACCCCACAATGGCTGGGTATAGCATTCCTGGACCACTCCTAGACCAAACTGTTGCCCAGTGTCTTTTACTCCACCCCAGGTGCTGTGCGCCATCATCGCAGGTGCCCTACACTATCTCTACCTGGCCTCCTTCACCTGGATGCTGCTGGAGGGCCTAAACCTCTTCCTCACTGTGAGGAACCTGACGGTGGTCAGCTATTCCAGTGGGAGCAGAGTCATGAGGAGGCTCATGTTCCCTGTGGGCTATGGAGTCCCAGCTGTGATTGTGGCCATTTCTGCAGCATCCAGGCCTCACCTTTATGGAACATCTGCCCGGTAAATACAACTTCCCACTGTCCTCATCTTCTCTAGCACAACTATGGCTATTACTAGAACCAATACAGCATTTTGATTACGCCAGGGCATGATATAGAGAACAACACTAAGTAATCATTCCTAGGCCATCCTTCTGGTAGAAGATTATGATAATTAAGAAGAACATATTTACATCTCTGTCCTTGAAGGATGAAATTAAAAGAATGTCTCAAGACAACATGTTCAACATGTTTTTAATTTCAGAATATTATAGAGGTACACACGTAAGACATCATCATTTTTTTTTCATTTTTTTTTTTTTATTGAATGGTAACTGTGTACATTGATGCACTTTAAGGGTACATAGCCTTCATGTAACTTCTTTTTAATCTAACCTAATTCATCCAAATTTTATAGGATGTTCCATATTTTTAGTTAGAAAAGGACACCTGATCTCAATAACTACAATAATGAAATTGTGATAGTTAAGATTCACAAAGTGCTTACTTTGTGTCAGACACTTTTCTAGCTTTTTTTTTTCTTTTTTGGTTTTGGTTTTTCACCTAATTGCAGTGGCTAAAACCTTAAGTGGACAACTGTGTCTTGTTCCCAAACTTAGGGAGAAAGCATTCAGTCTTTTCCCCACAGAAGTATGACATTAGCTGAGGACATTTTTTGTGGATACTCTTTTTCAGGTAGAGGAAATTGTTTTTTATTCCTAGTGTATTGAATCTTTTTATAACAAAAGAGTGTTGGATTTTGCCGAGTTCTTTTCTGAATGAATTCAGATAATTATATGATTTTTATCCTTTATTCTGTTAATATGTGTACTACACTGAAGAATTATTAGATATTAAATCAGCCTTATGTTCATGGAAAAAACATCTTGTTCTTGGTTTGCAATCCTTTTTATATATTGCAATATTCCGTCTGCTAGCATTTTGTTGAGGATTTTTATATTCATATTAATATATGTATGCACTTTTCTATTCTTGTGATCTCTTTTTCTGGATTTGTTATCTGAGTAATACTGGTCTCATAGAATAATTTGGGAAAATAGAAAACTTCCTCTTGTTCTATTTTTGATTTTGTGAAGAACTGATATTAATTCTTTAAATGTTTGGAGAAACTCACTGAAGTATCTGGGCTTGGGATTTTCTTTGTTGAAAGATTTTAAATTATTAGTTCAATAGTCATGTGTTATTATTCTTCTTGCTTGCTATAGTTATATTCAGATTATCTATTTCCTCTTCAGACAGGAAATAGATAGTAGTGTGTCTTTCTAAGAATTCCTCCGTTTTATGTAAGTTATCTAATTTGTTGTCATAAAATTGCACAGTTTCTTAATGCCATTTTTTCATTCTGTAAAATCAGTATTGATGTCCCCTCTTTCATTTCTAATAATACTGAGTTTCCTTTATCAATCAGCCTACCTAAAAGTTTGCCAATTGTGCTCATCTTTAAAAGAATTGCACTTTGGTTTCATGGCCATATTTTATTTTTTGATTTTCTTTTTCATTTATTTTATTTCTACTCTAATCTTCATGTTCTTCCTCTTCCCTGATTTGGGTTTACATTGATATTATTTTTCTAGTATCTTGAGGTGGAAGTTTAGATTGTTAATTTAATATTTTTGTTCTTTATTGATGCCTGGTTACCATGGCTCACACATGTAACCCTAGCACTCTGGGAGGCCAAGGCAAGAGGGTCAGTTGCATTCAAGAGCTCTAGACTAGGCTGAGCAAGAGTGAGACCCTGTCTCTACTAAAAATAGAAAAATTAACCAGCCACAGTGGTATGCACAAATAGTCCCAGCTACTCAGGAAGCTGAGACAGGACACTTTTTTTAATTTCAAATTAATATGAGCGTTCGCTCATATTGTAAGGTTACATTGTTTTCAAATTCAAGGTAAAGTTCAAGTTGTAGTGGAGCCCCTCACCCAGCATCCAGGGAGCATGCTGAACACCCTCACATAGTGCACATTAGATGAGATCTCACCGAGTGCCATCCCTTCTCAGGCACTCAACCTCCTCCCCCCCTCCTCTCTCCTCTCACCTCCCTCTTCCTATACTATATTTGTGTTTTATCATTTGAATGGGTGTGTAGTTGTTTATATGTTAGTTTCACATTAATAGTGAGTACACTGGATACATTTTTTTCCATTCTTGAGATACTTTACTAGAAGATTGTGTTTCAACTCCATCCAGGTAAACACAAAAAATGTAAGTTCTCCATCTTTTCTTATGGCTGAATAGTACTCCATGGTATCCATATGCCACAGTTTGTTAATCCATTCATGGGTTGATGGGATTTAGGTTGTTTCTACATCTTGACGGTTATAAATTGAGGTGCAATAAACATTCTGGTACAAATGTCTTTATGATAAAATGATTTTTGTTCTTCTGGATAGATATCTAGTAATGGGATTGTAGGATCAAATGGAAGGTCCACTTTTAGTTCTTTAAGAAGTCTCCATACTTCTTTCAATAAAGGTTGTATTCGTTTGCAATCCCACCAACACTGTAGAAGTGTTCCCTTCTCTACACATCTACACCAGCATCTGCAGATTCAGGACTTTGTGATACAGGCTAATCTCACTGGATTTAGGCAATACCTCAGAGCGGTTTTGATTTGCGTTTCTCTGATATTAGAGATAATGAGCATTTTTCCATGTGTTTTTTGGCCATTGATCTGTCAACTTCAGAGGAATTTCTGTTCAGGTCTCTTGCCCACTTGTAAATGGGTTGTTTGCTCTTGTTAATTAATTTGAGTTCTCTATAGATTTTAGTCAGTAGCCTTACATCAGATTTGTAACATGCAAAAATATTTTCTCATTCTAAAGGTTATCTGTTTGCTGTAGTTGTGGTACCCTTAGCTGTGAAGAAGCTTTTTAGCTTGATCATGTACCCTTTATTTATTTTTGGTGTTGCTGCAATTGCCAAGAGGATCTTCTTAATAAATCTTTTCCCAGGCCAATATTGTCAAGTGTTTCCCTCACACTCTATCTTCTGTAATTTTTATTGTTTTGTGTCTTAAATTGAAATCTTTTATCCACAAGAGTCAATTTTTATCAATGGTGAGAGGTGCAGGTCCAATTTCAATCCTCTATATGTGGCTAACCAGTTCTCTCAGCACCATTTATTACATAAAAATTCTTTTCCAAATTCTTTATTTAGTTTATCAAAGATCAAATGACGATAGGTGGCTGGTTCATCTCTATATTCTCATTCTATTCTATAGATCTGTATCACAATTTTTGTGCCAATACCATGCTGTTTTGATCACTATAGACTTGTAATATAACCACAAGTCTGATAGCATGATACCTCCAGATTAATTTCTAAACAATTTAATGGCTATTTAATGTTTTCTCTGATTCCATATGAAATAAAGAACTATTTTTTCAAGTTCCTCAAAGTATGACAATGGTGCTTTGATGGAGATTACATTAAATCTGTAGATTGCTTTAGTACTATGGACATTCTAACAATGTTGACTCTTCCTAGCCATGAACATGGTATGTTCTTCCATTTGTTAATGTCTTCTGCTATTTCTTTTCTCAGGGTTTCACAGTTCTCTTTATAGAGATCTTTTGCATCCTTTGCTGTATTTCATCTTCTTTGGAGCTACTGTAAAAGGTATAGAGTCTTTAATTTTATTCTCAGCTTGACTGTTATTGACATATATAAAGGATTTTAGCTTGATCATGTCCCCTTTATTCTAGAATTCTATTCTATGAAATAGAATGAGAATCTAGAGATGAACCAGCTACACATTACATACTAATTTGAGGGCATTGATTTGTTTTATCCTGAGATGGAGCTATATTCCTTGATCCCTTCTAAGAGCTTTGTAGTTGCATCTCTGATATTTTCCAGGTATAAGATCATGTCATCCATGAAGAGCAAGAGTTTGACCTCCTTTGTCTCCATTTGAATATCCTTGATCTACTTCTCTTGCCTGATTGCATTGGCTAAGACTTCCAGCACTATGTTGAATAGCAGAGGTGACAGCGGGCATCCTTGTCTAGTTCCAGTTCTGAGTAGAAAAGCTTTCAGTTTTACTCCACTCAATATGATATTGGCTGTGGGTTTGTTGTAGATAGCCTCTGTCAGTTTAAGAAATGTCTGACCTAAGCCTATTTTCTTAAGCGTTCTTATCAAAAAAGGATGCTGGATTTTTCTGCATTAATTGGGAAAATCATATTGTCTTTGTTTTTATTATATATGTGAATTACATTTATGGATTATGTGTATGTTTAACCAACCTTGCATCCGTGGGATAAAACCTACCTAATCATGATGGATAACTTTTTTTTTTGAGACAGAGTCTCACTATTCTGTCCTCGGTAGAGTGCAACACAGCTCACAGCAACCTCAGACTCTTGGGCTCAAGCGATTCTCTTGCCTCAGGTTCCCAAGTAGCTGGGACTACAGGTGCCCACCATAACACCCACCTATTTTTTTTTGTTGTAGTTGTCATTGTTGTTTAGTAGGCCCAGTCTAGGTTTGAACCCACCAGTCCTGGTGTGTGTGGCTAGCACCCTAACCACTGAGCTATGGATGGCAAGCTAATGGATAACATTTTTAATGCATCGCTATATTCTGTTTACTAGGACCTTATTGAATATTTTTGTATTGATATTCATCAATGATTTTGGCCTATAGTTTTCTTTTTATTGGGTCCTTTCCTGATTTTGGAATCTGGATGATATTTGCTTTATAGAATGTGTGGGAGAGGATCCCTTTCTTTTCTATGTTTTGAAATAGGTTATGCAATATAGGGACAAGTTCCTCTTTGAAGGTTTGGTACAATTCTGATGTGAAACCATCTGGTCCAAGGATTTTCTTTTTGGAAGATTTTGTATTGTTGATGGAATTGCAGTGCTTGATATAGGTCAATTCAAAATTTCTAATTCTTTCAGGTTGCATTTAGGAAGGTGGCATGATTCCAGGCGTTGGTCCATTGCCTCTACATTTCCACATTTCTGGGCATAGTTTTTTGTAGTAATTGTTGAGAA